TTAAATGTTAACATACAAATGCTCCCATATTCAAATGTTCGTACTAGACAATTAGACCAAATGAAACCAGGTCACTTCCCGGCTGACCCTTCCAACGGATTGGAAACCATCCTCTTCCTCTGCGTTCACCAGGGGGTTCTGCATTGAATACTTTCAAAACTGGAATGTTTTCATCCATTCGGCCGACATGACTCTATATTCGCTGAACTTTGTCAATATCATCGTATAGTTCGTACAGCGTTTCATCGTCTGCGGTATTCGTCGTTGCCAATCGACAAAGGACCATAAATCATTTGAAAAACTTTTCTCTCGAAGACTGTTAGAGCCGGCTCATCAGATGTTAGCATCGTCCAAGCTTTTGCACCATAGAGAAGGGCGGGTATGATGAGCGGCTTGTAGAGCTTGTAGCTTTTAGTTTCCGTTCGCCGAGGGAGAATTTTACTTTTTAGTTGTCTACTTAGTCGCAACTAGCACCTGTTGGCAGGAACGATTCTGAGTTGGATTTCAATGCTAACATTATAATTGGTGTTCATGCTGAACCCTAGATAGGCGAAATTATCTACGACCTCAAAGTTCTCACTGTCATCAGTGACGTGGGAGCATAGTCGCGAATGCGATAACTGTTTGTTTGATGACGGCAGATATTTCGTCTTACCCTCATTCACTACCAGATTAATTTGCTTCACTTCTTTATCAAGTGTAGAGAAAGCAGAACTCACGGCGCGGTTGTTGGGGAAAATAATGTCAATATCAGCGGCATACGCCAGCACCTGTACACTCCTATATATTGTAATATAGTACCTTCTCTATTCAGCTCTGCAGTTAGTACTATTTTCTCCTTGTCTGAAATGCAACGAATGGCTCGAAGAGGTCCTTCCCAGTTTACACAGCCGCTGTCGAGGGCTGCTTTAAAATAGATGAAAAGGTGTTGTATATCGATCATATTATTGCATGTCTTTTCCAAGACTTGGCGCATGGAGAATATCTGGTCAATGGTGGACTTACTAGGTCTAAAGCCACAATGGTAAGGTCTAATTAGTTTATTAATGGTGGGCTTTAGTTTTTCACACAATACGAATGATAGTACTTTATTTGCACACTTAGGGCATTCTTTAATCCGACCATATTTTGCAAAGATGCATGCACCTGATCAGCACTCCACCCCCGTATTTGAATAACTAGGCCGTAATCCATCGGCTCCTTGCTTTGTTGTTTTTTAAGCGGGCTATTTGTAGTAGTGTAAGTGTATTCGAGGTGCTCATAAAAGGCATCCTTGGCTAAATAATCCTTCTCTTCGATTGGGTGGTGTTAAAGAATTTCGTTTTGATGCGGATTGTGACGAGACGTTCATCCTCCAAACGGATTTAAGTTAGCTTCACAAATAGTATATATGTGGATACATTTATTTTACCAACCATACCTAACCATAAATATAATTACATAATTATTGATAACACTTTGTCGTAGCATTTAAAAACCGACCTTTTATAGTTCAAAAGATTCATTTATGCTACATAACACTTTTTATTTTCTTATTTGTTATGATCGTTTTGTTTTCGCAACTTATTTTGTCTAGGTCTTCTTTATATTTAATTGCACAGTGTATTTGTTGCGGAATACGAAGTTCTTCAAATGTCTTCCTCTTTCTCTTTTCGATATCTGTTGTTTTCGTTTCATGGGAATCTGTTGAATGATTGTTTGTCAGATGTTGGGCCAATGCAGTTGTTCCTTTTTAATTTTTTAGCGTCCGCCTAACGCTTGTTGCGAGTTTCTGGGTATGCGGTTACACTTGCGAGGCTATACTCCATTTCTTCTCTTGCCTCCACGTCGCGTACACGTAATTTACTCTTGTGCAAGATGCGGTAACAAGCCCCTGTGTAGCCTTGGGTCACGGCTAAAAGAGAATAAGTTGTAATGGAACCAATCCGACTTATTCGGCTGGAGCTGAAGGCTTACCGGCAAAGCTATTCAAACATTGCAGTGAGGAACTGACAAAGCGCATGCATGAGCTACTTTGCAGAATATCTTCGGACGAAAGCATGCCCAACGATTAGAGTTTAAGTGTGCTCTGCCCAATCCAATCCAACTACGGTTGGATAAGCCTCGTTAATTTTGCATATAGGGTTGATTTGAGCGTATTGTGCGGAAGACCTTCTAAGTCAACTATTGACCAAATTTATCATCGATTTTAAAGCATTCTTCGACAGCACGAATAGGAGCTACATCTACGCCGCTATGTCTGAATTTGGTAACATTAAGCAATACTAAAAGCTCCTTCAGGATCGAGAAGGATCTCTCCGAGGACTTCGATGCCAAACGAGGTTTCAGACAAGGTGATTTTTTATCGCGTGACTTCTTTATGTTATTGCTTGAGAAAATAATATGAGCAGCAGGGCTTAATAGAGAAATTACAATCTTCTATAACAGTGTGAAGATGCTGGCAATATTGACATTTTTGGCATCAACCATTGCGCCATGAGTTTGGCTTTCTCTAAACTGGATTCGCACTATCGGCTGGGCTCTCGCGTCACTTTCGACAGCCATATCTTTGAAGTCGTAGATAACTTCGTCTATCTTGCAATCAGTATTAACACCAACGACAATGTCATCCTAGAAATTTAACGAAGAACTACTCTTGCCAACATATGCTATATAAGATTAATGGTCCTTTGCACATTGGCAACGGCGATTAAAGAAAAAGATGGAATGATGAGCTCTACGAGATATAAGACGACACTGACAGAGTTCAGCGAATCAAGAAACAGCGGCTGGGCTAACTAGCCCATGTGGACCGGATGGATATAAATACTCCAGCTATGAAAGTTTTCGATGACGTACGAGTCGGTGTAAGCAGAGGAAGGGGAAGAACTCCAATCCGTTCGAAAGACCAGTTAGGGAAGAATCTGGCCATTCTTGGTGCCTCCAATTGGCGCCAAACAGCGAAAAAAAGAAATTAATTCCGCAATGTTATAAATTCAAATATATTAATCAAGAACGATTGCTTTGTTGTTCCTAAGACTTTGTTGCATTGTTTGACCATTGCATTTTATTTCATATGTAGAATGTGTTGTAGTTCCTTGTTTATTTTATCTTTGATAAAGACTGTGTTAAGTGTTCAAAGAGGTCGATGATTGAAAGCTATTGTTTTGTTGTTTATATGTATCTTTGCCAAGCTTTTTTTCTTTAAACCTTAAAACCTGAATGTTGTGCCAGTGAATGTTTTGTTTTAATTTTTAGTTTTTACATTGTTGTTAGCTACTTCTATTTGTTAACTATTAAATATGCTGCTATAAATATTTCCATTAAATTGATAATTATTATGGTATCTAGTTTAGTAAATGTAGTATGTTTTTTTTTGTTTGGCTCTCGTTTATGAACTCCCGGTCGCTGAGCTTGTAAATTTTTTCGATTAGGTTCATGGCGGTGTTTTTCTTTTGCTTTTATGGATGATTCGAATGAAAATTTATAATCATGGTTAAGGCCACAAAAAAGGAATGCCAATTAAGTTAATTTTTGTGTGCTGTGCGTTGAATGTTTTGAGTATAACCTCCACGTCCGTTTTTTTAATAAGGCAAATATATCATCTACATATTTGCTGATGTATTTTGTATATCATTATAAATTATCGTCAAGTATTTTATCAGCTACAGTTTGAGATAGGGTCCCGTTGGAATTCCAATTGCGTATTCTACAAAAACGAAATATTTGATATCTATAAAACAAAACTCAATAATGGAGTGAATTTTTTTTTGCAATTTTCGCGTGGTTTACCAAAGTTTTCCCCTCACTCATAATTTTTCTCAACTTGTCACTTAAAACATCTTTCATTTGCTTTTTGTATTCTGTTTAATGGCAAGAAATATCTTCCTTCCTTTATATTTTTCAACTAAATGCGAATGTCACATACAAATATGACTTTGAGTGCGAGTTTGTCCCACTAGGCGGGTAAAAGTTATTTCACTTAAAGTGTATCCATTACCTTTCTTTTACTCATTTGGTAGCAGAAACGTTACTTTTGTTCTAGTGTCGGGAACTTTTTCAATAATTTCTTCTACTCGCCCGATGTTGGTGTAATTATCTTATTCATTACTTTGCGGAATAAAGAAAACATATTTTTATGCTCTAATTGTGTGATTGATTTGGCAAAATATTTTAATTTTTGGTTAACAGTAATTAATTGATTTTTTATGACACACGAAAGTTTAGTATTTCGGATACCAATCAATTACCACCGGTGTATTGTTTACTACCAGTTTTCTTTAAAAAGAAAAATATATATTTTAAAGCATTTCTTTTTTAATTTACTTATAAACCAATAAAACATATATAGACATGTCGTTACAAAAATGACGTTTTTTAAAATAATACACACTTTCACAATTATAAAATTTTTCACATTTATAATTAGCTTCTTTAAAAAATCGTGTATTATAAATAAGTAATATTTATATTCTTACTTATGAACGATGTATTCGTCGATACAGAGTATTTAGTGCGCGAATATTAAATATTTATAAATATTACAAAATTAAAACTTACTGTTCAGTAAAATTTGTTACTATTTATTACTCATATAAAATCTCAAGCCTTACCTCGTTAATGCCAAATGTACTATTTGAGCTTTTAAGTCTACCTGTTAACAAGCAGTTTACATTTTGGTAGAGGAGCACCTAATTGGGCTTTGTCTTCCGAATTGCCCCATAAGTTGATATTGCAGCTCTGGTGCAAATATTAATATAAAATTTTACCAACACTGGTAAATATTTCTTCAATATTTTTATGCAATCAACAAAAACAGCGAGACATTTTTAGAGTAGTAAGCTGGGACATAAGAACAAACAGTCTAAGATATTCATTCCATTTGATACCCACTTCTTCATTAAAAACCAAACCTTTTATGGTAAGCGTCGTTTGAGCCATAAACCAAAAGATATTATTTGACTTTTTTAAATGCAAACATTACTTTCCATATATATCACATTTTCCTCTTTACTTCGCAGATAAAAATAAATTGGAAAATGTTTGTTCTGTTCCAACACCTGTTCCTTTGCTGACGACACGTTTAACAAACGAGGATACCAGCGACAATACACCTGGTATAGATCAAGCCTCTTTTTCGCCATCTTCAAGCTCTTCAATGGCGTCGGAGAACACGAGCACACTCAGCAAGAGTTACCAAAATATGTGTACACCAAATTCTAAAACTTCAATCAATGACAGAGACGTCTTAGGAGTACTAGGTACGGATACAGCTAGTGTTAGTGGAAGCATACCATCAGTAGTTTTTAAATGCAATTGTGATTTCTTTGCGCAATCCAAAACAGAAATGGAACTTCATTTCAGCGCCGTACATCCGCAAACAGAACCCGATTATATTAGCATTCCAACGAACTCCGCTGCCATACAAGCATTTCAAGCAGCTATAGCAGCAGCCACGGCAGCAGCTTCTGCAGTTACTGCTACTCGTAGTAGTGGTAATAATAAATGGAATGATAATGATATTATCGATGATAGTCATACTTTAATTACAAGTGGGCGACTATGTTCTCTAGATGATGAAGACGTTGATAAAACTACTGATAAACAAGAGATAATATCATTGCAAAGCACAACTACAATCGCTGCTCGGCCCACAACGTCAAACACAGAGGCAAAATCGAATAAACCTGAAATAGAAATTAATAACACTTTAAGGAATGAGCTTGGAAATATAGCTGAAAACGAAATAGAGGGAAATAAGATAGAACTGAGAGACAATGAATCGTTGGAAGGTAGAATGCAACCTGCTTTACAATCATACATGGCTGTACAATGTCCACTCTGCACAGAAGTTTTCGATTGTAAAGAAAGCCTGGAGTTACATTTGATGAATATACACAGTGTAAATCGTGATGGTTTAGCGCGTCTTCTACAGCTAGTAGACACCAGCGTTTGGCGCCACTTAAACACTTCAAACGCAATACCAGCTCCAACTACAGCTATTGCCGACGGAATAGAAGCCAAACAGCAATCAATTAAACTGACACCACCCACCAGTGATACCAACGTGAATGACACTACAAAGTTAGGGTCGTCGCTAATAGAAATCTCAGATGAAGCACCATTCAATCCCGATTCTCCTTCGCATACCTTACCATTCGGTGCAAATTTTATGGATACCGGAGTCAGTAATGAATTATCATGCGAGCAATGTTGTACACAATTCAAATATGAACAACAATTGCTGCAACATGCCAAAGAGATGCAACATTTTATAACCTTGCCAAATGGTGATCACCGTTGTTTGGCTGCTGCCCATCCTAGCCGACCGTGCTGTTTGATATTTCCCACACAAGCTACAATGATCACTCATTATAAAAATACACACGTTAGTTTAGTTATATCCGAGCGACATGTGTACAAATATCGCTGCAAGCAATGTTCTCTCGCTTTTAAAACTCAAGAAAAACTCACCACCCACTTATTGTATCACACTATGCGAGACGCAACCAAATGTACTCAGTGTCAACGGAATTTTCGCAGTATCCAAGCACTTCAAAAACACACCGAACAAACACATCATAACAACAGCGAACAACCAGAACCAAGTATTAGTCCAACTATAGTATTAAGCTGCAGCAGCCTTGAATCGCCAACCGATACTGATTTAATATCAGATAATGTAACAAAAACTAAAGAAGCGTATGGTAAGCATATTTTTAGATAAAGTAACAAATCGCCCGTTTTTTTTTGTAACGTATTATATAAAAAAAAAAAATATAAATAAAAGAAAAGTTTAATATATTTGATAAATTTTATATTCCTCATCCACACTAATCGAGTGATTAGGGATTGCTTATAATGATTCTCTGATTTTTGCTTAGTGAACAAAATCATCTAAAGTAGTATAAACAAAAAGACTTGACGGAGCTTTCAGTGTTGCTTAACGTCAGTTTACATAACCGTATAAGTTTTGCGTAAATACTTAATTCAGACATAGCGGCGTAAAGCAGATTATATTTGTGCTGTCGAAGTCAGCTTTAAATTTGTCGAAGAAGTGATGTATGTCGATCCTCTTATCATCTTTACCGACATCTTTGAATAGTTCTCCCATTAGGCCGTCAGCTCCAGACGCTTTGTTGTTTTTTAACCGGGCGATTGCTATTCGAACTTCTTCATAGTCAGGTAATGGGACGTTTTTTCCATCGTCATCGATTTGGGTCTCGGGTTTACAATCTCCGGGTGTTCCATCTTCCATAAATTCAGTACAATCGGAACATCCGCAACAAGATCACCTTTTATATCCTACTAGAGACTGCTCCGGTCTTGAATCCTTCTGTAAGCCGTCGTTTCTTTTCATAGAATTTTCTAGTATAACTCTTGGCGGCCAGCATATGAAGCTCTTTATGTTCCCGCATCTCCGCCTCTTCCTTTTTTTCGCAACAAATGCGTCTTGCTTCACTCTTCAGCTCTCGGTATCTAGCCCACTCCGCAAGGTTGAGAGGTAGGTAGTTTGTTTTCTCTCCACTGCGAAACGGCAGTACGTACAAGCTGTTTTTGCGATCTTTCCGGAATCCAATATTTTCTTTGCAGCGTACGTAGGGAGCTTGAAATGCCGTCCTACAGTTCCCGTATACCGAGTTACATGAGTGCTTTCAGAGAGCAGAAGTGCAAGACGAGTAGGAAACCGCTCAGCAGCTCGATTGTGATAGCAGTTTTTCGACGTCGAGCTTCTTCGTGTTTGTTGGCTGGCGTTCTTTGATACACAGAGGCGGGTTCGTATCTTCGCTGCCACAAGAAAGTTGTCCGAGTCGATGTTGGGTCCTCGGAGTGCACGCACTTTGCAGACGTTCCGTTGTGGTTGCTAAGTTTTCCGACAGTTGTACGAAAGATACCTTATTTGTCCCAGATATTCAGCATTCGCCAAATATTGGAAAAGACCTGTGAAAAGAGGATCGACACACACTACCTTTTCTTTGATTTTAAAACAGCCTCCGACAGCGCGTAGTATTCAAAAAGTATTTATTTATTCATCAATAACTATCTTGTCTCCTTCAAAGTAATCCCCCTCAGATATAATACACTTATGCCAGTGTTTTTTCCAATCCTCGAGACATTTCTTAAACGCATTTTTGGATTTTTCTTTCATCTCCTCAATAGTAGCAAAACGTTTCCCTTCGTCGGTGGCTTCAGTTTTTGAGAAGTGGAAAAAGTGAGCGGAGGCCGAGTTCGGTGAATACGATGTTTGAGGCATGATTGTTTTTCGCCAATAACTCTTGCACAAGCATCGATGTATTAGCTGGTGCGTTTTCATGGTGCGAAATCCATGACTGTTTATTTCAAATGTCCTTGCGCATTTAATTTCATTTTTTACACAAAACTTAATACTTCTTCCTTAATCCATTTTTTCGAATAGTGAAAGTTCGAAGAGCACACCAAAATACCACTAACCTTCTTATCTGTCAAAAATAAACAATCCAAAATGCAATGTATCAGATATGTGTACCGACATAACAGAAAAAAAGGAAAATCGAACATTCGTAACTCACGAAATTTTTAAATAACGGATACTTTCTGACCACACATACCTCGTATCGTATACCTACAGTGGTTGTTGGCTGTTAGTTAAAGTCTGCCTTAGAGAGCGGCCTAACAACCGCGCCGTTAGTTCTACTTTCTCCAGACTTGATGAGGGTATGGATCCGGTAGTTATACGAAATATGTCCTGTCAGCAAACAAACAGTCATCGCATTCGCTACTCGGCTCGCACGTCACATTTGACAGTCATAACTTTGAAGTCGTAGATAACTTCGTCTATCTTGAAACCAACGTTAACACCAACAATAATGTCAGCTTTGAAATCCATCGCAGAATCACTCTTGCCAACCTCTACTACTTTGGACTGAGTATATAATTGAAAAGTAAAGTCCTCTCCCGACGAAGTCCCGTATCGTTCCCGGGAGTCCTGGTAATAAACTTGTGCGCCTAAATTCATAAAGTAATGAAGCGCTACTTCTCACTTTGTTGGAACGCATGAAATAGTTAAACAGTGATTGAGTATGCTTATCAGATAACCGAGAATATTGGGCAAGATCAATTTCACATACTTAATCAGAAGTTTAGCATTCCCCTCACCATTCGATTTGATATTGCGAACAGATCTTGCCACTTCCTCCTCACAAAACAGAACCAAACTGCAATCTCTCAAGAGAATCAACGTCGGAAAACGAAGAAGTATATGCTTTAGACGTGTTATTAGCCGACTTGAAGCCATTTGAACCAAAAAAAAGTATTTAGCTCGTTGGAATCAAGTGTGCAAGGTAATTCGCAGCTTGGCCGCACACCAAGTCAAGAAAACGAAATGTAAGATCATCGAAGAAAGGCTGTGGTGAAATGCTCTTACTTATAATTTGTGATGTAGTAACACCAGCACGGAATATCTTTATCAAAAGAAGTATCTGACATGCAAATAACGTCAACAAGCGAATGTTCAAACGTAATTCTAATGTTATCCAAATTATCATTATTTAAACTGCGAGCACCAGCACGCTTACAAATCCCATTTACAGGCCTATTGTCGAGGTAACAAAATTTCCCTAGGTATTAAAATTTACCATTCAGTAAATTTTGTTACCATTTCATTTTCTGAGCTCTCTGATACCCTGTAAATTTTGTTACCAGCGAAATAGGAGGTAACAAAAATATCTGCTGTTTGATTTTGTGTTGTAAGTTTGAGAAAAAATAAAAAAATTGAAATGGGTAGGCATATTTTAGGCCTAAAATTCATTGAAGATGAAGAAGAAAGTGCAAAAAGCCGTATTTTGAGAAGTTTTTGAGACTAAAAAATAGCCCTTTAATTTGTAAGATAACGTTTTCATTCAGCCTATTTTTGTTGTCCAGGCATATTTTCCATAATTCGGTTCAAATATTTATGATTTAATAAACAAATTAATAAAACTTTTTAATTTTTTTTTGTGCACCGTCTTCCATTTCGATTTCAATATTTTCCTTTTTACTTTATCAACTGGCAAATGTAATTTGACATGGACGAAAAAGCAGTGCTGCCAAATTTTTTTCGGGCACTGTAACCAATTCGCCAGAATACCAAATACAATTTCGGTTGTTAAAGAAAAGTAACAAAATTTACTTTATCGGTAACAGTGAGAAGAGGCCTGTTAACGGAATTGTTTGGTTGAAAATAACATTAGAAGGCGGGTTATATGCAGTCATAATATGAAGTAAATTTCAAAATTATGGGTTATGAACAAACTTTGCAAAAATAATAATGGCAAAGAAATATTATTTAGATAAAAAATAAAAATAATAATAAACAATAAGCAGCTATAAATATTTATATGTACGCAAATAATAAATATTGCTAATGATGTTTAAAAGCTCGCTGCTATCAGAAACATCAAAAGGTTCACAATATCCAGGAGATACTCTTAGAAAGATTTCACCTCTCCAAGAGAAATCACTGAACTTACGCTCTTGTAGAATTTTGAAAGTGTCGTCGTTATCAAGAACTGCTAGTGTAAGAGGCACTGAATGTTTGTGCTCTTTCTTATAGCGAGAGAAAGCAACGAAAGCGCGTGTGCGATCAGGCAGTGACGGAAATTTGATAATAACCGCACTATTAGGCCGGTCAGCAGTACGCTTTGTGCGAAAAATTACACAGATAAAGGGAGTCGCAATATCAATAGAATTACATAGACTATCATAACTCTGTTTAAGGTTTTCCTCTATTACGAACGGTAATCCAAACAGCATGAAAGGTGGAATGAGCAGTTGATTTCTCTTATTTAAAATTGCACAGTCCTTCTTTCAACGAGTTAACTTTTTCAGAGAGATTAACTGCTGCAGTAGTCTCTTCCTCCAAACTATTGCATCTATGCTCAAATTTTACAGTACGAGCTGTTTCCGCCGCCTTTCCAATACGCTCGTGTATCTTCCCTTCCATTAATTGTAGCTTCTCCTCTGTTGACTGCAGCACCCTTCAGATTTATTCTCCAGTCTCAGATTTATATGTACTGGAGATTCTTTGCTAGTAAAGTGGCTTTACGTTTACCGGTAGAACCCATAAGAAGCAGGTGACTATGAAAGCACAACACAGGTACAAAAACTACCTAGAAATGATTTTGATAGGGTGACGAAGTGTAAAAAAATGTAACCAATGTTTAAAGTTTTCGTTTGCTTTTAGTTGTTGGTAATTAAAACAAAATTTTGGATATACAAAAACGAAAAAATAGATGCTTTACAGGCCTATTCTCACTGTTACCGGCAAAGTAAATTTTGTTACTTTTATTTAACACCCGAAATTGAATTTCGTATTCTGGCGAACTGGTTACAATGTTTGAAAAAAATTTGGCAGCACTGCTAATATATTCGAATCGAAATGGAAGACGGTGCACAAAAAAATTAAAAAGTTTTATTAATTTGCTTATTAAATCATAAATATTTGAGCCTCATAATGGAAAATATGCCTGGATAACGAAATAAGCTAAATGAAAACGTTATCTTACAAATTAAAGGGCTATTTTTTAATCTCGAAAACTTCTTAAAATACGTCATTTTGCACTTTTTTCTTCATCTTCAATGGATTCCAGGCCATAAAGATGCCTACCAGTTTTGGTTTCTTGTTTTTTCTCAAACTTACAACACAAAATCAAACAGCAGATATTTTTGTTACCTCCTATTTCGCTGGTAACAAAATTTACAGGGTAACAGTGAACTCAGAATACGAAATAGTAACAAAATTTACTGAATGGTAAATTTTAATACCTAGGTTAATTTTGTTACCTCGACAGAATAGGCCTGTTAAGGGATAATATTCAGCTTGCAAAAGCTATTCATCCAAAGGGTGAGCTTCAACATTTTCACGCTGGTTATAATGGAAGTAGCAGAACAGAACGCAATGTTGTAAGCTGTCGCCTATAGATTTATTACATAAAAAATATATGAAAATGATTGCAATAAATGCTGCAAGACAGTGCACATATCATTAATAACTATGAACTTTCCGCGAATCACTCTTTTTAACTTAGCTGAACACAATTTTGTTGCTTTCGATAAGTAACCAAATACATATTTCAGCAACTATTGTCGCCGTCGATTTGAGACTACGATATCTGGTTTACGATTTTCACCTCCACGATTCTGTTCCGTTGCTCTATTATTATCAGCTCTTCATTTATCGTCAAACTATATATTTGTAATTTCACTTTTGCATTTCTTTTATTTGAATTTACCCCATTTGTGAAACAAACACATAAATATGTATAATAATATATATATATATAAATTTGTATAATCGTCGCTTTGGACTCAGTATAAGATCGTACTCTGCTCATCAAAATACGACACCTTGATTTAAAATTTGCCTACTCAGGTTAAAGCAGCACTGCTTAACTGTCAGATCTATTTGTTTATCAGCGGCTAAGAACTGGCAAGAAGCATACAACAGTTTCTTAGCAAAATATGGTCGGAAAAAAGCATACACGACGATTAGAAGCTCTGCCCAATCCACCACAATGGAGATCTGCGAAAATAAATATGGCATAAGTTTCCGTAATATCGCTTACAAAGTCTTATGCAGCGTATTGTGTGGAAGTGAGACAAATTTTGGAAAAAAACATGAGAAAAAGATCAATACAATTACATTTTCATCGATTTTAAACCCGCTTCCTTTACGACGCAAGGTACAATCTTCTATAAGAGTGTACAACTTTGGAATATACCGTTGATATTGACAGGGAGAACAGGTCTAATTAGCGCGCAACAGCTAAAAACAAAAACATGGGGCACAGTGTTATTGACTCGGCTGTAATCGCGTAAGCGCTATTTCTAAATGGTTCCGAAGATGCCAGACCGGACATTTTTCGTAGAGGACAAGCCCCGAGAAGGCCGACCAAAATCTTCAACTGATGACTTCATTATAGCTCTGGTTAAGTCCAAAATTGACGAATACCCACGATTGACACTAGAAATTATTGCTAATGTATCATGTCCATATAGCGAATATTAAGTTATCATGAAAGATACACGAAATAATCTGACCGATGGCTCATTTTGCTCAACTGTTCCTAAACAAGTCCGAAAATGGTCAGTCTAGCAACTTTAGTAATGTCGTTACTGGTGACAAATTTTGCTTCTATAAGTCCGATCCAGAATCGAAACAGCAGTTCATGGTATGAAGCCCAACAGGAGCAAATCCACCCATAAAATTTAAGCAACAAGAATCAGCAGCAAAAATAATGATGTCAGCTTACTTCACCCGATCTAAAACCGAAGCTGCATGGAAAAGGGTCAGACCGAAGAGTGCTAACCAAAAGACAACGCGCCATCCCACACTGCTAAAATAACAAGTAATTTTATTGCGATCTCTGGGATCGAAGAAATACGTCTAGCATCAATAAAATTAAAAGGAAATGTCTTAAAAAGCAACGAGGAGATAATTACTGATAATTATTTAATACTTTTCTGGTTAACTTACCGAACTTTTGTTAATCCCCTCTTACTTTAGCATTCAGTTTATTGTGACGAAATAACATGGTAACACAGTAAGCAAACTGAACTCAGACGAGCAAGTAGTGTGCAATATTTAGTGTACAAGAAAAGCCTACTTTTTCAAAAATGCAAGTGAAAATTTTATAAAAACAATGATCCAGTTTTAAACCTCAAAGAAAAATCGTGCGTTAATAGATTGATGAAATTTTGCACAGTTAGACTGCAGGAATTTTTTGGTTCTTATAAACAACTTCTCATATCTTGTTGCCAGGAAGGTATCAGACCTTGTAACCTCCCAAGTCCCTTAATTAGAATCATATTAGCACAAATATAACAAAAAATAATTTATTCCGAGTCCTGTCGAGAAAATACGCTTGACCTCGATGCCAAACTTTTTTATGCTTACAGTTAGCACCAACTACTAATTGGTTCATAGTGACAGGTCACAACAGCGTTAGGATTCTATCTTTTAAATTATGTTGCTAACGAAGTATATACACATATGTTTCCTTCTATTATATTTAACAGTTTGTACATCGCCACCTGCAAAATTGTTTAGCAAGGAAAAAATAGTGCATGAACCACAAGTAGCATCTTCTCCATTGCCAACTCACATCTTGCAAGATGAACAACAGCTGCAGCACCAACAACAGCAACATTTCGCTGCAATCACTGCCGCTCTTTTAAATCATCCAGCCTCGCAAAATTGTAGCGGTCACGAATTAACTAAGACTAATAGTATTTTGACACCAGCAAGTTTGTTGCAACATCTAAAAATGAAACCCATCGGGTCGCTATTAGCTCAAAAATATTTGCAGCAGCAACAGCAAAGTTTGCAAAATATTCATCAGTTACCACAGAATACAGCCGCTGAATCTGCCACTGGCTTACAACTTAACCCTGTTGAGATGCTTAATCTGATGCAGTTCCACCATATAATGTCAATGAATTTTATGAATCTGGCACCACCGCTTATTTTTGGAGTCGGAACTAATGCTGGCGTAAGAGGTAGCTTTGATTTGCTAACACCCGCGCACACATCTAAAGTTGCTCAAAATACCTGTCCCAATGCTCTTATGAGTGAAAACGATATGACAATATCGAGTACACCGGGGCCTGTGGGACCTGATATGATTGGTACATTGCAACAGCAACTCCAACCTCAACAGCCTGCAGCACCAAGTACTTCACAGGTAATTATTAACAGAGTATCTTCCTGTTGCAAGACCTTTTATAACTTTTTCTTGAAAGTTGGACGTAACATTTGAATAGGTTTCGTTTACAAGATGTGATTGACTACTGCATGATTACCACTGACTAGACAAGCAATGTAGTAGGATAATACAACTTAATCAGTCCATAATAGTATTTTATACGGATGATGGATATGTAGATGCTAGAATCGTTGGCTGCGCTACTCAAATGAGTTGGAATCTGTAATAATAAAATCGGAACCTGGGATGGGTGCCAAACAGAGCAGCATACCGGATACCGATATGGAAGACGAGTTTGTAAGAAAGGTCACTTCTCTTTCACTTTCTGCATCCTCGCCGTAGATGCTAAATGAAAATTACAGTCTGAAATGTGGCCATCTCATATAAGACAGCTATGAAGAAAGACTTCGCTCTTTGGAGGAGTAGGGTAAAGTCTTTAGTGGTAGCAACTTTTATTGAAATAAATTGTTCAAATGCATGTTGATTGCTCAAATTTGCGAGTGAGTGCAGGCTCTTGGAATCATCAGTGGTATCACAATTGGCCAGCTCTGTATCCTTTTTGAACTGATACCCAGCAACCACTTTAGCTTAACCTGACCTATCGTATTGTTGATATATTTGAAACTTACCATTTTAGTTTTCTACAACTCAGAACAAAGTATTTATTGTCAAAATTCCCTTTCATTTATAACAGTCAAGGTTAGCGAGCAGATAGTTTTTGATTTTGGCTTTTAAGTTTTGAAGATATGTATTATTTTTTTAAGGAATTGAAGGAAGAATTTTTAAAAAATTTTGCTTCTAACTTGACTTGAGCAACTGTAAACACCTTCTGAACACATATAAAACGTCATATTAAAAATAAATAATCTAAATAATTTGCCAGAAAATTAAGAGTTTTTTAAATTTTAACTTTCATTTTCAGCAGATGACAAGTAATCAAAAACGAGCACGAACGCGCATCACGGATGAGCAGCTAAAAATCTTACGTGCCCATTTTGACATTAATAACTCACCTAGCGAAGAAAGCATAATGGAAATGTCACAAAAGGCTAACTTGCCTATGAAGGTATGCATATGTTATAGAGCAAGAGCTCGCGGAAGCCGGTACTACATCTGAAATATATAGACCTTATTAAACGACACGCCTCTGTTCATAGCAGGCTCTTAAACTAATATAATTGTGCACTTTTCTATTTCTTGCCTTAAGTTTCTTTTATGAACTCGGACCAATGAAGATGATTATATTCATTGTTCGTTCGCTTGTTGGTATCCTTAGAATTTAGGACTGGTACATTTGTAAAGTAGTATTAATAGTCTAATTGAAGCTTAGAGCCCTTGTTTAAAATGGAGCTGACTGCCTTTAGTTTTAGAGACAATACGGCCTTTTTTAAACAAGCTTTCTCTCTAGTAACTCAGTTGTGCAAACTTGCTCCGTTATTCTATATAATAGTGTAGTTCTTACTCAGTAGCTTGTAGACTATGAGTCTAGGGACTAGTTCTGTTATTGAGTGTACCACAAATTTGCCTAAACCAAAAGTGTACTTCTAAACTACTTCAGACAATTTTTCTTAAAATTGTCACCAATAAACTAACATGCTGTGCCACTTTCATCTGCATTAGCCCGTCCGTCATTTACCAAGCTGATTAGTTTTTTGCAGCGCTCTTTAATTCTTTAGTTGAAAAATATGTAAAAAAATTAACTGTTTACATACTTATTCCGAGACCACGTAGTCAATAAATACTGTTTTATAACCGCCAACTCATGTAAAAATTATACTTTTGCATATAGAATTCGGCGTCTTCAATAATTGCTTTGGAACTATGGTATAACCCAATGAAACAGACTCAAATACTATTTTAGCTCTATAAAATTTTAACATTGGCATTAGTATTGACGGGCCTAATCTCAAACCATCATATTCTAAAAACAATAGTTCTTTTTTATTTTAGATATTTAGATTAATTGATTGAGTTTACAATTTTCCTGAATGTGGATTAAAGAAAGACGATGTTGCAGAAAATGTTTAACTAATTCATATTTATTAATTTTAATTTTTTCTTATTCTTTGTAAAAGGTTGTCAAACATTGGTTTCGAAACACTCTATTTAAGGAACGTCAAAGAAACAAGGATTCACCGTACAACTTCAGTAATCCACCATCCACTACATTAAATTTGGAAGAATATGAACGTACTGGCCAAGCTAAAGTCACGGCACTAAATGAGGACCTGCATATGGATTCGGCAAGTATTACTTCTAAGTTGTGGTGGGATAATTCTTATTAATATTCGTAGCTGTATTAGCTGGATATAGGTTATTCGATAATTAATGTCGGGGGTTCGCTTCAAAAATTACTTAAACTTCAGTACTGGCTGCTCGGCTTCAGCTGTTGTACACTATCTAAAAGATTGGACTTTAGGTTACCTTCAACTGAAAACTGAGCGATATTAGGCTATCACAGGGAACCTTGTCGATATATTTCATTCATTTTCAATGAAGTTCTGTAGGAAGTACATATGTATACTCGTATATAAATAAAATATATATAGGAGTATGCACGTGCGAACAGATTTAAAATATATATTTAAAATAATATGGTTCCAAGCCCATGATGGACACTATCGACATCTAATTCTAACATTCACCAAAACGAGATTATGTTTTTTTTTGTTTTTATGGATTATCCACAAAATATTAAATTTAGCCCTGCGCATATCAGATTACTAATAGTAAAACTTTCGACTCCGCTTCTGAAAATCAAGTCTTCTTTTATACGAATTATAGAAAAGATAAACGATAGTTAATTATCGAACAACCCGTAACATTAAAATAGGGCAAAATCTAAATCGTCCTATAGCATACCATTTTTTTCCTTTTTGAATTTTCTAAAGTTTTTACATACAATTTTTTTTAGTTATTAGTTTCATATATTATTTTTTGAATATAAGAAGTTAAAAGAGTTAAGGCTCATTCTGCTCTGTCTAGTTAACTGATTCTTACTGACTTTGCTGGCGTAGACACTGCTTACCTGATTATAGCCGAATTAAAAACATTTCGCCATTCGTTGATTTTGTGCTGTTTGGCGCAAATTGGAAATATCAAGTACAGCCAGGTCCTTCTCTACCTGGCCTTTCCAACGGAACGGAGGTCTTCTTCTTCCGTTGCTTCCACCGGCGGGTACTGCATCGAAGACTTTCAAAGCTGAAGTATTCGCATCCATCCGGACCACATGACCTAGCCAGCGTAGCCGCTGCTTCATGACTCGCTGAACTACATCAATGTCGCCGTATAACTCCTACTGCTCGTTGTTCCATCTCTGCGATACTCGCCGTTGCCAATGCCCAAATAACCATAAATTATATGCGAAACCTTTCTCTCGAAAGCTCCTAACGCCGACTCATTAGATGTTGTTGTTAAAGTGGCTCGCTAACCCCGCTTACAGGTTTTATCAATCTAAGTCATCGAGGTCATTTAGTGGGAGGTCCAGGAAACCAGCTGTTTCGAAGGGATTGGACCAATGGGAGAGGGGGTTAGATGAGTTGGTTTAACGGGGCACGTGAAGAGGTGTATAGTGTCGTGCGTAGTCCAGGGATGTAGTGGTTGTATCTTAAGCTGTCTTTCAGTGATGGAGTGGGTCAGGTTGGTGATGTAGCAGTTCACTTTCGAGCAGAGGTCATCAATATCCTGACCAGAAACCATTATCGTGCAATCATCGGCATACGAGGTTAGGGGGTTCCTTCTGTTGGAGAAGGGAGTTCAGAAATGTAACAATTAAACAGTAGCAGAAAGAGGACACCACCCTGCGGAGCCCCCTGTTTAATTTTTCTGGGTTTTGATGCTTCACCCCGGAATATTACCGATGATTGTCGACCACTCAGGTAGCCCATGACCCATCTCTGCAACACCGGCGGTAATGAATATTCCACTGAACGGTTGGCGGTGTCAGAAGCCATTGAGTATCTGAGTGTGTATGCTTTACGGATCCCAAGCGCATGTGCTGCCGGGCGCAGTTGGTGAGTGAAAGTCGGGAGCTGCAAAGCCTTAAATGTCTTCGCTATTGGGGAGAGGAGAGATATCGGCCGATAGGACTCTCCTTTGTTGGCTGCTTTACCCGGTTTGAGTAGCGGAAGTACCTTGCCCGTTTAACACACTTCAAGTATAATTGGGGTGGTCAAAGACAAATTGAGGACCTTGGTGAGAAAGTCTGCTCCCGCTGTTTTACCATCAGCATGTTTATTACGTTTTACCTTCCTGTTGCCCCCTAAACCTCCGCCCAGGAGAAATCAAGCGCCACGTGAGAATTTGGCAATTTTCGCAAACATGTCGCTTGTTTTGTCCACCGAGGGATTCAGTATAAAAAGTCGCCTAAAATAGCTCGCGCATCTCTGCGGGTACGACGAGGTGCGATCACCGAATGAAATTTTCGCCTGCCCATCGTGTCTCGTCGGGTTCGACAACGACTTGACTGTAGCCCAGAGCTTGGCTGCCCCAGAGAAGAGGTTGCAAGTCCTTCTCCTTTTTCCGCTTGTGGTTGTTAACTACTCTGCGAATCACCGCTTTTAAATCTCTGATTACGAAATTTCGAAGGGTGTCGCGGCGCGATGCTAGTACCGCCACTTCTGTCGGAAAATTCGGCCTGCCGGGATAAAGCGAGCGGCAGCGGTCACTACGACCCTGCGGGACGTCTGATGGAGTGGGGAGAGCATTAAAGGCATTTTCGGGGAATTTCGTGAAGCTGGACCAGTAAAAGGTAAGTATAAGTAAGTTGGCCGGTGCTAGTAGCAGTACAGATCGACGTTTATCAGACTAGCACTCGCAATTGTTATATCCGACGAGCTTTGGAAATTACCCTTAGCTCTGTTGGGGGTGTTTTTGATCATTGTGCAGAATGTTGAATCGTCTGTCTGTTTCATTTGTCTACCGCTAATTGACAAGGTAGATTGCCAAGGATCGTGATGCGTGTTAAAGTCGTCCGAAACCAAACTATTTTCGCCTCTGAGTAGCGCACCTACATAAGGGCTGTATCCAACTGGGCAACTTGTAACAGGAGGAATGTATATGTTAAATATCTCGAGGGCTATGCCCTGTTATTCTAGGGTAGTATCTTTGTGGTACGATAAGGCGATACTGCACGGTGTTGTGCAGGATGTCCGCTAGGCCCATGGTTCCGCTCGCGATCCTTGCGGATTATGTTGTATTCGGCCCGGCTCAGAAGATCTGAGCGGGCGGTCAACTTCGTTTCCTGGATCGCAGGAATTGATAGGTACTCCCGGCTCATGTAATCGACAATCTGGTTGATCTTCCCCTGGAGTCTATTGCAATAAAATTGTAAGAGTCGGGTCTGTCTCTGCGATATTAAGGAGGTTTATTCCACGTTAATAGGCGAAGACTGTAAGGCCCCTTGTTCATGGATTGAGCAGAGTATACTTAAATTCCAACCGTCGGGCATGCTTTCGTCCGAACATAGTCTGCAGAGTAGCTAGTGCATGTACCTTGTCAGCTTTTCGCCGCCATGTTTGAATAGTTCTGCCGGTAGGACATCAGCACTATCCGCTTTGTTGTGTTTTAAGCGCGCGATTGCTTTTCAAACTTCTTCATGGTCAGGTAATGGAACGTCTTCTCCATCTTCGAATTCTCCATTTTCACTACTACTCAGCCGGTTGGAGAAGTGTTCCCTTCATATATATAATATACTCTTATTGTCCTACAAGAGCCTGCTCCGGTGTTGAAACCTTCCGTAAGTCATCGTATCTTCTCATAGAATTTTCTAGCACTACCTGCGTCGGCCAGCTTCTCAAGCTTTTCACACTAACACATCCCGGCCTCTTTCTTTTTTTTGTCTGCACATGTTCTGGTCGAACGAAGGGCTGCGAGGTAGTCAGCTGTTTTCTCTCCACTGCGACAGAGTAGTCCTCATCGTAGCAGCTGTTTTTGCGACCTTTACGAAATTCAATATTTTCGTTTGGAGCTGTACGTAAAGAACTTGAAATGCCGTCCCATAGGTCCCGTATACCGAGTTACAGAGAGCAGGAGTGCAAGTCGATTAGAAATTCGTTCGGCAGTCTGTTGGTATTGCAGCTTTTCAACGTCGAGCTTTCCTTGTGTTTGTTGATGGGCAGTCTTCGATACACAGAAGCGCATGCGTATCTTCGCTGCAACGAGATAATGATCCGAGCCGATGTTACGTTCTCGAAGTGTACGCACATCAAAAACACTGGAGACATGTCTTCCGTCTATCACAACATGATCGATCTGGTTTTGTGTTTTTTGATCAAGGAACAGCCAGGTAGCTTGATGTTTTTTTTGTGCTGGAATTTTATACTACAGAGAACCATGATTTACCGATTCTATTCAGTTTAAATTGAGAATTGCTATTTAATACCTTTGGTTTTTAGTCCTACGAAAATAAGGGTTTATAGTTATGGTTAAAGAAAAAATAAACAGTATAATAAATTTCCATTTTTAATTTCAATTTTCTCTAAGCATTGAAATTATCATGTATTTATAATTTTTTGTTTTGTGTTTATATTATTTATTTTAAGTTTTGCTTTCAAAGCTTTGTTTTTTATAAATACACATATACATAAGTCATTTGGAAAAAAGGCCTCTAGAACACGTATCTTACCTTATGGTAGTATGGAAAATGCCCACAGCTCCACTAAGTAAAAAAACAGATCAATCTGTTTCAATCTTATTGAAGAGTTTAATGAAAAATACTAAAACATTCAAGTGCCTACACAAAAATGCAAGTAACTATTTTTTATTTAAATAAAAGTAAAACTATTTTAATAATAGTAAAACTATTTTATTAATTTTTTTTAACTGAAAGTAATTTAAAGTCATCGTTGCCACCGGCCACTTCATAGGCACGCTGTAACGCAGCAGTATATTGGGACACCAGTTGAATATGTAATTTAGGTTTTATAGCCTATACCTCTGCATTCACATTTTTTGAAACATGTCTTTGGTATAGCTTGCTCTTTGAAGCTACGATTAGATTAGATCATTCTTCATTTCACACTTAATATTTGTCCCCAATTCATCCGAACCTTCCAAACTTTCAGAAATATATTTTTCATTGGACCATCAACATCAATAACGTTCTAAAAATCCAACTCCTAGCAGGCATTCCCAACCTGTGCCTGCCTTAATAATCAAATAATCAAAATAAATAAACTATCATTGATATAATAATTTAATATATTATTTAAATTAGATATTCAGTATTATACATACAAACATTTGTATGTAAGTCAAAGATGGTTCGTACGATTACTGTCTATCAAGACGGGAATAAAAGTGTTTAGTCTTTCACGCGTACACTTTGGGCAACTTCAATTGTCCTAGAATCTTAATAAACAAACTAAGATTAATAATAAAGAAAATTATAATATATTTTTACGTACCTCTGTTGCCAGGGTTAACGAAGTTTGCTGAAAAATTAGCGTACTACTTATTTTCATGTTGGGATTCTGTGCGCTATTACTTAAATAAACAGGGAGAATAAAAAAATATCAATATCATAATTGCAAGTGTAAAATACTTAAATATTTTTATTTTAATTTTTATTAATTTAGCTGACATTTTTAGCAAACTTTTTGCTCCCTACGAAAATTCACCATGTTTCCTATAAAAATCTATATTTATCTTCAAGCTAGCCTTGTCAAATACCTAGGCTGCTCTCAACTGTTAGTTGATTTCGTAAAACAGCTGATAGCTTCCATACTCTCTATACGTAAAATTAATTTTATTCCGATTTCTTGGACAAGAAATATATTTTAATTATATTTTTACAGTTAAAACTCACACATGAGCAGCAGAAGGACAAAAAAAATCAGCTTACCGAAAATATAATCCAGGAATCTTCAAATGAAATAAAAGCGTTGCCTGAAAAAAACACAAGGGCGGAGTCGCCGGTATTGATGGATATTAAATCTGAGCCTTACGACGACAGTGCTCAGCCACATCCAACATCAGCGAGTCCACGATATCAGCGGCAAGAAGAAGAAGAAAACCAACAGCAGCAGCAGCACCGGAATGAGAAAGATAAATATTTGTTGAACACCGCATCAGCATTATTGTTGCATCAGCGACAGCAATGTTTACCCACATTGAATGAACATCAAGTTGCTGACATGCAGGAGCAAGCTTCTGTTGGCGTTGCTGTAGTCTCTATGTTACAACAGCAACAACAGCATTTGCACGAGCAACCGAATCAAAGCATACATCATCAACAGCATATCAACCTTTATAACTACGAAACGAAATCAGAAAGTGGCAGTTCTGATATTCTCTCCAGACCGCAGTCACCAAGCAATTCATCATCTGTTGTCCCCATGTCCTACACAAGCATAAATGAGTTAGTGAATCAACAATTGGACAACTTGCCACTGAGTCAAAATCTTTCCAGTATAAATGTTGCTAACATGCATGGCAATAACATGGGTCCACCGAAAAATTTTCAAAGTAGCAAATCTTTCGACAAGAATTCGCCATCTTCACAGTTTGACACAAATTCGAACTCGTCGAATGCATCATCAACATCCAGCGGGAAACGAGCGAACCGTACACGTTTTACGGACTATCAAATCAAGGTACTACAGGAATTCTTTGAGAATAACTCTTATCCAAAGGATAGTGATTTGGAGTATTTAAGCAAGCTATTGCTGCTTTCTCCACGGGTTATTGTTGTATGGTTTCAGGTAAGAAACTATTTAGTAATTTTAGCAATTAAGCCACTTAAAAACGTGTTTGCACCCTAAATAAGTAAACAACAAAAAAATAAATGTTTAGATGTATATTCGTGGGATCTAGACCGTTACCTGCAGATGGGTATAGAAGAGTGCCTATTAAGCGGTCCCGGAAAGATTCATCCATAATAGTGAAAGCTGAGCGTTAGCTGAATAATTACAAAAGATCAAATTCGAGAACACATGTTCAGTTTGGGCTATTCGACTTCCGCCAGTTGAAATTTTTACATTCGTCGTCTTCTGAAATGTTCGAAATATAACAAGTAACAATTCAGCAACATTATTTTACACAAAAAATGATCAAAGTATCATCCATACGGACGTATTCGAATAGTATTCATACTAGCCGGAAAGACATTTCTTCAATACCCCTACTGAAACGGCAGGAGTGCTGTCAGACTCAGTTCAACTCTCGCCATTTTGCTAAAATATTTGCATCAAGCTTCGTAAAAGCATGACTCCATTAATAACAGAGAAGTTTTGTCATCAAGTTTTGTAATCAAACACTCAATTTGCTGTATGCTATCTACAAAATTTAGCAGTTAATGTTACTAGAAGTGATATACTACCACTTTTTGTTTCATCCATACAAACATTCTCCCCAATGCCGTATGGATAACATTTAAAAACTCCTGGCATAACATTTTAAAAAGCTGTTTATTTCTTCATTTGAAAACTTGTAATCCTGAAATGTCCCTAAGGTAATGGCATGAGTTTCTTTGACGAACTTCCTCGCTGTCTCCTGATACATAGAATAATACAGCCTCACTTATTCGCGCGATAGCTTGCGCTAGCTACACTACACAAGTCGACTCAACACTCCTGCCATCTTAGCCTGCGGTTGGATTTTTATATAAGGGTCCTTATACATATAATACAATAATATGCTATTAAATATTACATATATGTAATAAGGCGAGCAACAACGCTGTTGAATATGTATATATCGTTAGTTGTTCGCGTTTTTATATTCACAGATGAAGTGGCAATGACCTTGCCTGTAGTTTTATGGTTCGTAGTGTAAATTCTTTGCTTCAAGTTTTTCTTAATACTACCGTATTTCGTACTTAGCTCCAAATTTGCTCAACGTTGTTAATGTCCTTTTCCGCTTGCTTCAAGCTATGCTTCTTCAGACTCTACAGGACTGAGTCTTCACCGTTGAAGTGTGGCCACATTGAGCTCGCTTTTTCCATGGCGCGTGTCAGAGATGTGCGATGCTTCGTATTTCTCTTGGCTGAACGAAGCTTTGTAGACTGAACGTTGTGGATTACATTTGGGCCTCCCAGCGTCGGCAGTCACATATCAGGACTTTGGTTTGCACGAAAATAAACAGGCTTGATGAAAGCTATTTATAGGGCTCTCAGTGGCCCACTGCGCCTTTTGTATGCAAGGCGATAACCGTACTCATTGATGTAAATGTTTCTTTCTTGATAGCGAGCTTATGTAAGTAGAGGCTCTGCCTTTGCTTATGAAATCTTAATGCAGCAATTCCTATCCTGGATTTTCTCTCGCCTGCACTTCCATCAAAGGTCTATCCGTGGGTTCGCGCAAGGTCTCGCTACGTGGTCCTTGTATCGATCGGGCTTTGACTGACTAATAAGAAGGATGCTTATGTCGACGACTTGAAAACCGAATGACGGTTTTAGTTGGCGCCAAGCATGAAAGCTCATTTCTTGGCGTCTCTGTAGAGAAAGTACACGCCTAATGGTTCGGGGCGATGCATCGTGACATTGAGATGGCCATAACATTCTTGCTGGTTATTGAGTTTCCTAGATGTTTTCAAAGTCTACTGCTGTGCTCGGCTACTATTACTATTGTATTTTAAAACCAGCGCAGCACTCTATCACGAAGCAAACCATCAAATCTTAGACTCCCCTTCTTCGCTCGGCCCATTACTCGGAATGGATACATATCTTGGAGCAGTCCACATTGTAAATATTTGGTGGTGCTGGCATATTTACAGTATACCAAGACCCTTTCAAAATTTTTTCCTACACTTTTTTTCGTTCACTATACTTGTCACTCTCCGCTCTCGTTGACATAGCTCACTTATCTTGCTTGTTTATCGTTTGCTATTTAGAGTGTCTTCGGTTCTTTTTAAAAAAGGAACATTAGTTTTCTCTTGGTTTATGTCACTATTGATTCTAGTTGGAGTAGTTCACTTAATTTCTCGGTTTTTCGTATGTCCTGTAAACTTGTTTCTCCTCATTGCACTTTTGCTTGTCTTGAGTCCTGTCTATCATATCGCTTTTGAAATCTATTGAGTACCTCATCGCCTCTAAATACCTTACTTTTTAAACAAGAAGGGGAAAAACACCTCGCACTGACTTACCCAGAGATGGAGGTGGTGAGGTACTCCGCCTGTAAATATATAATCTGTTTCAAAAGTGTAAGAGGGAGTAGTTTCTAACTTTGGGCTCGTCACAACACAACATACAACATTATCATCATTTCTCAAAATTCTGCGGTTATAATCAAATTATATATGTGTATGTTATTGGTATCGGTCGAGCTGCTCCTAAAATTTGTGAGGTTTATCTTGATGTCAGTTAGAAAAATTAACTTAATTTCTAATTTAAATTTGTTCGTGACGATATGGCCACTATGTATTCGTTCGCTATTCCAATAGAATAACGGAATGTAATACAAGATAAAAAGAAACAAAGTATTAAATAAATTGTTCTGCCGTTGAAATCATGTTTTTTTCTTTCGTAAAACTTGGCATGTTATTCGCTAAAACCCGCTTTTAAATCGAATACAGTCCACAATTTTATCAATCGCTTTCGTTTAACCCGCTTAATATTAACGCACAAATAATTTTTCGCAATAATTCGCAACTTCGCATTCGTACGCAACAACTGGTCCTTCAAACCGGATCGCGTTTTCATATTTTGCAATATTCGGTCTGTTAACATTTGTGAAATATATTCGCATAGCTATAAAAGAGCTACAACAAAACATTCGAAAACAATATTAAAACTTACGCTTGTGAAAATTGCATTTTTTAATCGTTTGCCGAGGAATGGTACACCGCAGCGAAAGCGAACTTTAAACGCCTACTGGGAAGTCATGAGCAGCCACGTCTTTCTACGTCAGCAACTTTTACGTCACCGGCAATTCAATTGCCAAAGTGGCTAGCTTTCTTCGTTGCTTTTCAATCACTTGTACACAACAACACAAGTCTATCGAAAGGTCAGAAATTGCAGTATTTACGCAGCTTTTTGCAGGGTGAGACGTTCCAACTCGTCAGTAGTTTCTAAATTTGTGATGACAATTACAACGCAGCGTGGAATTTGCTCACGCCGCGCTATAAAAATTAACGTGTTATGGTTGATAGTAATTTCAAAGCAATTTTCGCTATTGAAAAGACGACTAGAGATTCCGGATATGCTATTAAGCAAGTAATATACGCTACCACGCAGCATGTTGGTTCCTTGCGCTCTTTAAGTAGGTGACTGGTTAGTGCACACCACGGTTTCTAAATTAGATTACGAAACCAGAAAGCAATGGGAGTTATCATTAGTAAGAGATCTTTTACTCACATTTGAAGAGCTAGTTGAGCCTTTAGAAACTCGTGCGCGTTTCCTTGAAAAGCTACCAGATAGTAGTCCACTACCGACGTCAACGCAAGCAGGCGCCAGTTTAGTAAAGCTGCATTGAAAACAGTGACAAATGTACTTCAGCCCCTGCGGGTTAGGGGCTCAAGAATTTACCCGCGGTAAGGTATGCCTGTCGTAAGAGGCGACTAAAATCCAATAATTCCCGCGACAGTCGGGTCTTTATACCGGAACGACCCGAATTTTTATCCGGCCATATACTGTCACTCCCGCAACATTCCCCAAAAAGTACTTTGGGGAAAAATTTTGCGGTTACAACAACAAAAAATGTACTTCATGCTATTGGTTATTAACGCAAGCTTCAATGCCATTCGATGATCCAACAGGCACTTTTTTATCATGTTTTCATTACAACGGTAACCCTAAAACTTATGTTTGCCAATCTTTTCGAAAATTAAATGTTGCTTAACATACATTGTCACATGGCAGCCAAAACGACGATCGCACCAACGATGAGTCGAGTGCTCATGCTTCTTCGCAGCAACTTGTACAACAGTCTACTTCTAATTTGAGTAACGCCATATTCGCACCGTCGTTTAACACGAATGCGGATTTATTTTATCCGTGCTGTGTAGCATCTCACGTCGCTGAAGCCGGTAACGCTATTTTGTTGGCTACCGCAGAAATATATTAGCCGGATCACGCAGGCCGATGGCAACCTGTACGAGTTTTGTTCGACAATGGGTCACCTGCGTCATTCGTGACAGAGTCCTGTATTCAACGTCTACGTCTGCCAAGCAAATCCTCAGCAACCTGCGTCACAGGAATTGGTTCATCAGATGGTCGTAGAGTTAAAGGTCGATCATATGTACAGCGCAACACAATCTCGTTGATTATTTTGTCAAAGATCACAAATGATCTCCCTACGGTGGGTTTATAGAAGTCATCGTGGCCGCATTTACAAAATATTGCTCTCGCTGATCGGCACTATGCCAAGCCTGGTCTTATAGACGTGTTAATTGAGATGGACGAAAAGGATATATTTTTTCTTGCTGGCCTTTGTAAAGGACCACCCGGCATTCCTATGGCGCAAAAAGCAGTTTTTGGTTGGGTGCTTTTCGGCAAAGCGATGCGTTCATCAGACTCAAATACGAATATTCTGTCTCTACACTGTGACGTTCAACTCATCAAAATGGTAAGTAAGTTTTGGGAACTTGAAGAGTTGCCATCCAAGCGCTACTTCACTGCCAAAGGGGAACTCCGCGAAAATCATTTATGTGAGCAATACTACCGCGCTGAAATGGACGTTACGTTGTACGCCTTCCACGGAAAGAGTCCGTTCCACTAAGTGAATCGAAGTCCATAGCTGTAAGAAGTGTGCTTAGAATGGAACTACTTTTCGCTGTCAATTAGGAGTTACGTCGTCAATACGATCAATTTATACAAGAACTCTTAAGTCTTGGTCATACGGAAATTGTAGATAACGCTCAAGTACATACTAGTTTTTACATGCCTCACTTCGCTGTCGTAAAGGGCTCTAGTTCCACTACCAAACTTACAGTCGTTTTCTATGGGTCATTAAAAATTTTAACGGAGTACTCACTCAACGACGCACCCATGATAGGTCTACAGTTGCAAAAGGATATTTTCTCTATACTAGTACGATTCAGAACGCACCGTCGAAAAAATTTACCGACAAGTATAAGTATCAAAAGTAGATGCCGATTATCATAGTTTGGCGTGATAACTGAGCTGAACCTATTCGAGACTACCGTAAGCTTCGTATTACATATGGCATTGCTGCTGCGTCTCACTTGGCCGTACGATCTCTGCGTCAAACCGCGTTAGATGCCCATGAAGTATACAAAGGAGCGTTTACGGTCAACATGCGCGATTTTTATATAGTCGCTTTATTAACCCTATTGTCGCACGCAACTCACCGACGGACAGCTTAACATCGTTCTTATCGCCGTACCTACGTAAGTAGGACGGCTTGAACTATGCGCAGCGTATTTGGGTTCCAAATTCATCAAGCAAGTTCAGCTAAGTTTTGGTTACAATTTTAAAAAGTTATATGCGTGGACTGTCTGTACTTTAACGTTAGCCTGGTTACAAGGTCACCCAACCCGATAGTCAGTTTTTGTTGCCAATCGCAACAGCTGCTAAACCAGAACTTCTGTTCGCCTAGTAATCAACGGGTGAGAGACAATCTTATCAGCCTAAAACTACGCCAAGCTGAAATAGTATGTCCAAAATAACGCCTTTTCAAAAGAAATTGCTTCTTGCAGGTCACAAAAACACATACCGATACGAAGTCATCTAGTCCGTCTTCAGTCATTCTTAGACGCTAATAGTGTACTCCGCGTTAGAGGGCGAATACAACATGCCGTGATCTCTATTGATGCTAAACACCCAATAATCTTACCGAAGAACTCGACACTAGCCCCTGCGGGTTAGGGGCTCAAGAATTTACCCGCGGTAAGGCATGCCTGTCGTAAGAGGCGACTAAAATCCAATAGTTCCCGCGACAGTCAGGTCTTTATACCGGCACGACTCGGATTTTTATCCGGCCAAGGACTGTCACTCCCGCAATATTCCCCAAAAAATACTTTGGGGAATAATTTTGCGGTTGCAACATCAACAACAACAACAACAACACTAGCCAAAAACATTTTGTTCGACATTCACGACAGAACGCTGCACGCTGAGCCACAAATCATGCAAACAATTCTACAACGTTGCTTCTGGGTGCTTGGTTTTCGTAATCTAGTACGTGCAACCTACCACAAATGCATCAAGTGTAAACGCATAAACCGGCAGCTGTTGGGTCAAGTGATGTCAGATATTCCGAGTAGTCGTCTAACGAGTTCTCGATGTTTTCTTTACGGCGCCGTCGACTTCTCAGGGCCATACTTTGTAAACTTTTCCCACACCAAGCGCGCCACAAATGGGTGGCTATTGAGAAACGGAGGTGAAATACCATTTAAAACGTGCACTTGGCAGTTTTTTTTGCTGACCTACGAGAAATTCTCTACGCTATTAACAGAAGTGGAAACTTGCGTCCATTCACGACCTTTTTATTGTTATGCTTCTAACGCTGCCGACTTGGGAATGCTCACGGCTGGTCATTTCTTGATTGGCGATCCGCGATGCCTGAACCTGACACTGATAATTTCTCAGGCTCGTTACATCAACGATTGCAGGCGATTAGCGCGATGCGACAACATTTTTGGTGCCGATGGCAGAAAGAATACCTTGTTAACTTACAGAGACGAGTTAAATCATCTAATCTTTATGAGAAGGACGTCGTCATCATACACGACTTGGGCGTGTAATAAAATTTCATCCTGATGAAACTGGAGTAGTTCGAGTGGTAAGATTGAAAACATGCGATGGTGAATTGGAGCTTCCAATTGCGAAGCTTACTCTGCTGCCAAGACAAAATGATACATTTTCTTTATAATACAAACTCGTAAATGTAAATCTCGAATCAATATTTTGCAATGTACTTATTCTCTTTATATTATTGAATTTAATTTTGATCCTAAGCCAGTCGTTCAAGGCGGCCGTTCTGTTCGTGCCGATATGGCAACTATGTATTCGTTCGCTATTCCAAAAGAATAACGGAATGCAATACAAGATAAAAAGGTATTAAATGAATTGTTCTACTGCTAGCATCGTGTTTTTTCTTTCGTAAAACTCGGCATTGTATTCGCTAAAACCCGCTTTAAAATCGAATAAAATCCGCAATTGTATTAATCGCTTACGTTTAACCCGCTTAATATTTCCGTACAAATCATTTTTCGCAATAATTCGCAGTTTCGCTTTTGTACGCAACAAAATTAAAATTTCATTAATTTTTTTGAAGTAGTTCGAACCAGAACCCAAACTGTGGGCTTCAAAATTGTACCCCGCAATACTACCCACTAAGCAATGATTTCTCTCTTTGTTAATAGTATGCTTGATGCTTATACAACATTTAATTTTATAAAAGACCTCTCACCCTTTTGGCTCAGCCAAGTATGTATGTACTGTATGTCCATTACAACCTTAGAAGATAACACCCTTTAAAGAGGAAAATAAACGCTAAATATGTGTAAGCTTGTTTAAAACACAAATACATACTTCTATATGCCTTGATATTTCCTTATTGTATAGTACCAGACACAAGGCACCACAAGCGTTCATATTTCCCCTATATTTTCAGAATGCTCGTCAAAAGCAGCGTAAAATATATGAAAATCAACCAAACAATTCGCTATATGAAACTGAGGAGAAAAAGCATAATATCAACTACGCTTGCAAGAAGTGTAATTTGGCATTTCAACGTTACTATGAATTGATACGTCACCAAAAGAATCATTGCTTCAAAGAAGAAAACAATAAAAAATCGGCCAAAGCACAAATAGCTGCAGCACAAATCGCTCAAAATCTTAGTTCCGAAGATTCCAATTCATCGATAGACATAAATAGTGGTAGTGGGTTACTGCAACAGCATTCAATGAATGCAGGAACAGCTGGTATAACTGTTAATACCGCTAGCATTTCCAGTATTTCTCCCGGTACTTCTGGTGGTGGGTTAAACGCTCTACACAATTCATCGTCACAAAATTTTTTTGGGAAATCGTCATTGTCTGTGACTGATCTCAGTCCGTCTACTACGCCTACACCACCAAAAATGCAACGCGAATGTAATGATAGCGTAGAATTAACAACGCAAACGCAAGCAAACAAATCCAAATTTGAATGCGATAAATGTAAACTGCATTTCAGCTATTATGAGCATTTTCGAGAACATCAACTGCTACATTTAATGAATCCTGGCCTTTTTGCCACACAGTTTGGAAATATACCGGAAGCTTACGGTTCGTTCGGCAGTATTTTACAGAGTATACATCAAGTGGCAGCCAACTCTACGCAGCTGCAGCAACGGCATATGGTACGGCAGCAGGAGGCGTCACAACCACCTGCAAAGAAACGTAAAACTTCTGAAACATCTGCTATTGCGGACGATCTGTCGACGATTTGCGGCACCAGTGGCATCGACAACAGCAACGCTTTCTTTTCTCCTCCTATGTCAAGTAGCAGAAAATATAAATTTTTGCATCAGTATTTTATGCAAAACGAAGGCAATAATGAAGCTAAGCAGCAATTTCAAACGCAACTACAACAACAATCATTAGAACCAGAATTTGAAATGGAGTTTTTGGCAAATTTTTATTATCAAACAGAGATACGTAAACGAAGTAATTACAATTTTTTATATCAATACTATCAAAAAAATGAAGGAAATTCGTTGACCGACGCATTACAACCTCGTACAGTTGGTTGTGGTGCTGATAATAAACCGCATATAGATTTTCTACTGCAATACTATCAATTGAATGAATCAAAAAAGTTTTTTCAGTTAGATGCCTCGAATCAACAAGTAAATGACGACACGCCAGCGTCGCCAACATCGACATCACAATACCAACCTTCAAATAACGTAATATCGAGTAGTGAAATTATAGCCACCTCCATGTCAAATATGAAATTAACGAAAAACCCTCTGAATGAGCAGAATAGCAGCGTTATTAAGCTTTCGGACTGTATTGAAGGCAGTATTGAAAATGAGACAAATAACAATGATTGTGATATAAATGTTGACGACGCTGAAGCAAATTCTGTTACCGACACCGATTGTATTGATGACAATAATAAAAAATTTGAAAAGCAAATTAGCCGCAAACGCCCAACTCATGTAACAAAAACCAATAATGTAAAAACAAATAATGAGGATGATGAGTATGAGGCTTCGACTTCGTCTGTGGCTATCATAAAGGATATGCCGAAGGATGTTTGTCAACAAGAGCTCACAGATTTTACCAAAACGATTAACGCATTTGGAAAGAATTCAAAATATATTCAGACTAAGCGAAAATTTTTACATCAAGCACAGTTGTTAAACAAATCAAAAGCCAAAAAATCAACTTGCAATACCGAAGGATCATATACACAAAATATGAAAGAAGTTCTTGTTGTCAACCAAACAACAACCGAAACCACATCGCATTCCATTGAACAAGCATTTATATATCGCAGTTGTAACGACGATGTAGCAGCGACAAAATTGGCTGCAGTTTTTGACAATGTTGAAAGGGTGGAAATTTCTAATTCTGCAACTACAAAACCAGCTACTCGTATTGCTGAAAGGCAACAAAGTAAGCGCTTACGCACTACAATACTGCCTGAACAATTGAATTTTTTATATGAATGCTATCAAACTGAATCTAATCCGAGTCGAAAAATGCTCGAGGAAATAGCTAAAAAAGTGAACCTTAAGAAGCGTGTAGTACAAGTAAGTGAGAACTCCTGAATTACAAATTAAGTCGCTCGTTGTTCTTTGTTGTTTCCTCATATTCATTCATATTATCATTTGATTTTACCAAAAATTGATTCAATACGTGTAAACATTAAACATATTTTTTCAGCCGTCAAAAATCTCAGCACCTGATTAACACGCTGGTTATAAGAGAAGTAGCGGAACGTACCGCGATATTGTGGACTGTCAGCTAAATATCTATTACATGTAAAATAAAAATTTGCAAATGGTTATATCGCACGGGGCGAGACAATGGAGATCCTAAAGGTCTTCCTTCCTTCTAATGCAATTTTACAGTTTTTGACATTTGACAAATTAAAACATATTCGGAAAAACTTTAGAATAGAGTCAAATATTTTTCTCTATTAAATATTTAGAGTTAATAGTAGGAAGTCTCCAATTACCAAAAATATACATTATATCGCGCGCAAATTTATAGTTCAAAAGTTGTTAACATTTAATGTTACAATTTTCATATTCCGGGAGGCTGCTTGTATTTCGCTATGAACACATTGGCAACACTTGCAGAAAAATTAAACAAATTATTCTGCAACTACCCAACTCACGTACCAGCCGTCCATAGTAACCTATCTTATGAGAGCGCCATGTAAACACAAAGTTATCACCGTTTGCCCAAGCCGGCGAAATGTTGCCAGCTGCCAGTGTGTTTGCACACTTTTGAACAAATTCATAATTTTCATCAACGAATTTCATAATTCATATGCTTGAATATAAACGCAAGACAAATATACATGATCAATATGGTAACAAATAATTAGTTACGCATTTATTTTTCATTTCTTTTGAACAAAACTACGCATTATAATCGATTATTTAATGTTACTTTAAGAAAGGCTATACTGGCAACCTTGTATAGCAACGAAAAATGAGCCGAGCCGGTTTTACGGAAAAAATCAAAACTTCGTTGGTTTCTGGGGAACAACCGTCACCAACGGTATGGGAAAGCGGTGACAGCTTTGTGTTTACATGGCGCTCTCATAAGATAGGTTACTATGGACGGCTGGTACGCGCGTTGGGTAGTTGCAGCCTTACCTTCCTTCCATAGGAACCCATCTTATGAGAGCGCCATGTTAACACAAAGTTGTCACCGCTTACCCATGGCGTTACTGACGATCGTCCCGCAGAAACCTGTGGCGATATGATTTTTTCCGTAAAACCGGCTCGGGTCCTTTTTCGTTGCTTTGCAACTTTGTAGCCAGTATAGGCTTTTTTTTAAAGAAAGATTAAATAATCGAAGATAATGCGTAGTTGTTTTCAAAAGACATGAAAACTAAATGCGGAACTAATTATTTGTTACCAAATAGATCATGTATATTTCATTTAAGTTTATATTCGAACACATAAATTATGAAATTTGTCGACGAAAATTATATATTTGTTCAGCAGTGTGAAAAGACACTGGCAGCTGGCAACATATCACCGCTCTCAGCTACGTCAACAATTGTGTATGTATCTCGCTCTTGACGCCGCCTGTTTTGGACGGATGGCAAGTAAAATGGTTAGTTGCAACATAAGGCTGAAGTTTATTTCGTTTCAATAACACGGTCCTAAAATGAAACAAAACCATTTTAATGGCTTTATTCGCATCCTTTCATTAAACATGTACATATATACAGTGGCTCACAGCCAGAAGCTATGTAAGAAGTAGTATAATAAGATTTATTTAAAAATTCAATAAATTTTCTAGAAAATATGAATGCCAGTTAATAGCGGCAAATATACACAGTTCATTGCTGCTTTAAAAATTTTGCATTAATTGTTTATTTAATGGAATTTACAACAAAAACAAACTTCAGTATTAAATTCTACCTCACAGCGAAAATGTTGCACAAAGATTTACCGCTAGTGTCTGCGTCTTGTCGACGATTTTTGAATGCAAAATGAATATCGCTACAATTGCGTGGAAACTTGGTGTAATATGAGATGATTTTGAAATTATAGTATTGATATTGGTTAAATGTAAATCAAAATTGGTCACCAAACAAGTATCGAAGTGCGCGAATTAATCCTACAACATTATAAAGATGGCAATAGTCGGGGCAAAACCGTGGAAGTGGTCAAATTAACCCAATGAACCTTTCAGCATGTCGTGAAACTCTGTTAAATATAACTAAAACGGCTCGTAACACACGCGAAAACCCCCACTTAAGTGCTCCAGCTTTAGGTAAAAAAGTACTAAAATATCTTGAAAAAGGCTGTAACCTAGGAACCATACGAAGAATCCTCAGGTAAGCTGATTTGAATTGCCGCACAGCTCAAAATATTCCACATGTCAGTGCTAAAAATCTAAGTGCAGGGAAAGAAGCATTCATAAAAAGATTAAAGTTTCTGGAATACCGTAATTTTTGTGGACGAAGGTAAATTAAACCTGATTAGATCAGATAGTGAGAGCTTTGTATGGAGAAAATCAAATACTGCGTTACAACCGCAAAATTTGTGTAGCACTGGAAAACATGGTAGAAGACATGTAATATTATGAGGATGCATGTCGTCTTCTGCAGTTGGAAATTTGAAATTCATCAATAGTACGAGTACTATGAATAATACTGTGTATTTGATCATTTTAAAAAGAAATTTGTGGCAAAGTGCCTCAAAATTAAATATTCGTGACAAGTTTCGGTACTATCAAGATAATGATACGAAACACAAGTCAGGCGTTGTACAAATTGTACAATTTATTTATTTAGAACTGTCCGCACATAGTACAAACCCCAGCGCAGTGTTCAGATTTGAATGTCATTGAGAATCTGTGGCCAGATTTGGAACGAGAGATTCGAAAATATGAGATTTGAAATCAAGCCGTCTTAAAAAAAAGCCCTACAAACAGAATGGAACAATATTGCTCATGGCTACACGAAAAAGTTACTGGAGTCCATGCCCAAACGTATGAAAGCAGTCATAGATAGCAAGGTGTATCCTACTAAATATTAATTAACCTACAATTTTAGTTTTGTTCATAAAAATAATTAAATATATTAATTTTTTTTACTGCATTATTTTTTTGTGAGATACAATTTAATTGTGAAGTCCATTTTTGTTGTTAATTACATAAAATATTGAAATTTTAAACCATAAATGAAATGTGTATATCTGCCGCTATTAACTGGCATTCATGTTTTTTGGAAAACTTATTTAATTTTGAAATGAGACTAATTATACTTTTTCTTAGGTAGCTGCATCACTTTGGCTACGACACACTGTTTATTTCGTTGTTTGTAGCTTATAACAGATAGTTGCTGTTCTAATCATATACATATAATGCATAGAATATTCTTACGTTCGTGATGGGCAACTTTTCTTTTGGTTTCGTCCATACATACGTAAAGTATAATATGACATTTCACTCTTTTATATTCACAATTTATTGCGTCTTCACTTCTACAATATTTCCTATTGTGTTATATTTTATGTTTTAATCTATATAAATGACAGATATAAATATTCTAATTTTAAAACTGTATAAATTCACATTTCTACATACATACAAATATTTTCCATTACAAACATCAGATATTTTTCCATTTATTTTTATTTTCATATTTGTTATTTAATTATAATTTTACAATGTTTATTTTTTTATTTTAGTAATGTATTATGTTCCAGTTGATGAAGTGCTTTGCTAACCTAATCCTTAGGAAAATTATGTTGTTGTGTAAATTTTTTGCTGTAGTACGAAAATATACTCGATGGACTAACTTTTAAGGTAAAGATTTCAAAAAAGTGTACCTTCTTCGGCCAAGCCGAAGCATACCTCTAATAAATTTAACGTTTGTTTTCATTTAAATAGTTGCTTAAGATCTAGGTAACTATTCAGGACAGCGGCTTTTGCGTTGCAATAGTTTTATTATGTTGTTGTTGGTGGTGTTGTAGCGGTTTGCCAACCCCGCTTAGGTAAGGTTAGGAAATGAGCTGTTTCGACGGGATCGGACCAAAGGGAGAGGGGGGTTAAGTAAGGAGGCATGTGGACAGGTGGCGAATGTCATGCGGAGACTCTCCACATGCAGGGCATACTTTGGATATGCTGGGGTCGAATCTGGATAAGTAGGAGTTTAACCTGCTACAGTATCCAAACATAAGTTGTGCCAAGGCCAGGCGGGTCTCTCGAGGCAGCTTGAGCTCGTTGTCTGCTATGGTTGGTGATTTTACTCCGAGGGATCATTCACTGGGAGGGAGTCTATGAAGGTGTTGACTGACTCCTGGTGAATGTCATTCAGTGCTCCCTGCGATAACATCCCAATAGAAACTGCTTCCACAGCAAATCATTAACTTAACTCGTAGCATAGATGCTTCGCTGTGCAAGTGATTCTCCGGCGACATTAGTAGGTTTGTCTTTCCAGTCGCAGTGTTCTGTTAAATCTGTAGTTTCTTCATCTGCGTCTCGTTCGTCCCCGGCGCCCAGATCTGTGCTGCATGACTTACGACTGGCCGGCCAACTGCTTTATAAGTTACAAGCAAAATTATTTTATTTTTACCCCAGATGCTGCCGGCTAGCGCTTTGAGTATTTTGTTGCAGCTCTGGAGTTTTGCGGCAATTGCGGTCGTGAAGGAGTGCAGGCTGTCTAGTGTCACTCTCAATACATTTGGGTTATTTATAGTCGAAATTTCTACGTAATCGCTTTTCGCATCTAGTTCAAGCCCGTATTCCTTCGTCCATGAAGAGGGTGGCGTAGGATTTAGATGGCTGCAATTTCAATTGTCGTGCAGTGCAGAAGTGAGAAAAATTCGCAAGGTAGCTCACTTTCGAACTGAGGTCATCAATATCCTGGCAAGGCGCCATTATCGTATAATCATCGATATTTCAGGTTAGGGAAACATCAGCATGCTTATTCCGTCGGGCCGATGGTTTTGGAGGCGTTCGCTTTCCTGATGACTCCCTGAACCTCTTCACTGGAGAAATCAAGAACAGCGCTGGTATTTGGCAGTTTGCGCATACGGCGGGTTACGCTTTGTTTTTTCACCAAAGGATGCAGTGTAAGAAGTCGCCTGAAAGAACTCCCGCATCACTTCGGGTCTGAAGAGGCGCGATCACCGAATGAAATTTCCTCCCACTTTTTCTGCTTGTGGTTATTGACTACTCTGCGAATCTCCGCGTTTAACTCCCTGATTAGGGGATTTTCGGAATCGGAGTTTCGAAGGGTGTCGCACCAGGATGCTAGTACCGCCACTTCTGTCGGAAAAGTTGCTTCTGACTGAGGCCATGTTCCGACGCTCTATGGTCTGACACACGGAACAGGCTGTGCGTAGCACCAGGAGCTACTTGGTAGCCCTCGCATGGGAGGGGGATAGAGAGCTGGTTGTAGGTGGGGATGGGGGTGGTGGTAGTCATGCTGCGGGAAGCTCAGTGAGACCGTAGAGGTCTGTCGGTTACCCAAATTGGGTCAAGGTGCTGAAGGTACTGCCGTGATGGCTAGGAGTACGTTTAAGCTCTGGCAGCATGGGGCCACATAACTTATGATCCACTCCCTATGAGTCTTAAAGCCTGACCAGGTCTTAATATGACTCCAACCATTGCACAAGCAGCAGAAGTAATCCGTCGGACCAGGGTTGGTTTCGACGCTAGCCCTGATAAGAAGGATTTGGAGCAACCCAGCTACAAGGTGTTGCTCCGTTGGCGAACTGAAACTAATGTTAACTGTTGACCTAAGCGGGTTTAGGTCACCGAAAGGGTGACATTTTTTGGCCGGATAAAATCCGGGTCAACTCCGGTACGTAAAACCAGCTATCTTGAGAGTTGCATAGTTTTATTGTTATTAACCTTTATAGTTGCACTAATATTACCAACGAACACTTTACATACAAATGCAATGGTTAAAAATACCAATTAAGTATGTGTAGGCCCACAGTTGCTTCGTTTAAATGCATCGAACAAGAACAAAAATATTGTACATAAAATTCCCGTTTTTTTTAAATGACGCCGTTGAAAATACTGTTGCGAAAATCCGAAGCGAAAGTTAGATGAAAGAGAGAAGCCGATAACTAGTACATTCTAGAACGATAAAACGAGAACCTTCGATAGCGAACAACTCGATTATTCTACACTTTCGTCTAAGAGCAGGGCGACACTCAGCTGCAAAGAAGTTAGTTACAAAGTGAACTCATTGGCGACAACATATAGTATAGCGGATTAAACTATTTGAGTAGTAAAGTAAACGCGTTGGAGATTCCATTTAAGTAAAGTAAATTGTAAATTGTTTATGCAAGTGATTGTAACTCGTAAAGTGCATTGTAATTGAATTGTGATTTACTGAGTAAATAAAGGACATTAGATAAATTCTTTATAACGAAAGAAACTGCAAATTAAGTTGGCAATTTTTTTATTTAACAATCCATAGATCGTACCTGAAGGATTCAGAAAATCATCGAGGTTGATTCAGCAAAATCGTTACAATACATAGCATTTACGTATATTTTCAAAATCGAGGTCGAAAATACAACATTCACATATTTTTACCAAAACTAAATTAAAATATTCGGCTTCCTTCTTTTTTCAACGGCGTTTTTGCTCTTTTCTACATTTCTTTCACAGTATGGCAACATCTCTTTAACCATATATTTGTATGTGGTGTGTGAAAAAATCCCATCATTTTTGGACAGTTTCAACAAATGCCGCTGTCCTCAATAATTATAAAATTCAAATATTTAGTTGTAATAGGAAATCACACATCTCAGTCTCAGTCAGTTGTATGGGAGGCATATGTTAAAATACCTTTACTGGTTTCGAGGCTGTGCTTTCTTTTAATGGATCAATGTTTGTTTCAGCAAAACTAATTAACCAATCCTAATGAAATCCGCAGGAGTTGTTGCTGTTGATCTAATTTATGTTTATTTTTAATTTTTTTCGCATAAATTCTACTAAATTTTAAACAATTTGTGCAAGGCGAAGCCGGTGTTGGTTCGGTCCAGGGTTATAATCTAAATTGTAGCCGAATCCCGCCAACTAATAAAAGAGTTTCGCTTAAAAATACTGTGAAAGGCGAAGCCTATGTTGGTCCAGACCAGGGATACAATCCAAATAGCTGCCGTAGGCCCCCAAATTACAAAAGTGTTTCGCTTAAAAATACTTTATATACTGTATATTAATAATAATAATCCTGTCCTATATCGTTAAAAAAAAATTAAACTGTCTGTTCTTAAACTGTTAGAGACAATTATATATACTTACAAAGTGTAAAAATTGTATTGTAGTTACTTTATGTACAAAATAATATGGTAAAAATTCAAATATTATTGCAATTTCAACTTTGAATATCTCAAAAACTATAGGTCTCCGGTTGGTTTGGTTTCCGGTGTTTGAAAGCGTGCTGTCCAATCACACTTCTGAACCAAAGAGCATTGAAGACAGTTAGTCTTTTGGGTGTAATGGCCCCTCTTCAATTATACTTATTTGAGGATTCTCGGCACCCCAAATGCGACCATTTTGCTTATTTATGTATCCTCCAAGTGAGAAATGTGCCTCAACGTGAAATAGTCAGCAGGTTTCAGTTGTTGTGTTAGCAGGACTTTGTGTGCACGTATGTAGGTGTTACCGGCTTATAAAGTCAACTACCTCGTCGATCTTTTCCTGGATTTTGTTGCAGTTGAATTGTGTTGCGAGAGAGCGATGCGTGAATTGCGTGTTGCACTTATATAATGCATGCCGCATGATGGTTTTCCAATTGTAGGTGGTGCAGACCTGCACACAAAGGCAACGTACACTTCACTCACGGATGTTGGGCAGGACAGAGCACGTGACTTGACGGATATCAGGTTTTGATACATGATAATTTTACACGCAGGACAGACTTTGCGGGAAACTAAGAACTCCTCTCGCGCTGGAGGTGCTGGCATTAATACCGACGCCAGCCGCGATAAATAGGATCAACGGAAAAAGCTAGCAGCTGTACACTCTTAAAGAAGATTGTACCTTCTCTATTCTAGGAGTTGCAGACCTATTATTTTCTCCACAACTTTCCCTTTCTGAAGCCTTGCTACGTATCGAACGACACGGAAGAGTTCTTTCCAATTTCGACTGCGCTTCATGTGTTGCTCAACGTCAGTTTTGCGGTGATACCGAATTCAGATATAGCACGGTAGAGACAAATCGTTTTAGTGTTGTCGTAGGCTCTAAAATCGGCGAAGAGGTGTTATGTGTTGATTCTCTTGTCTTTTCGAAAATTTAACGCATGGTAAATATCTGGTCAATGGTTGATTTACCAGGTCTAAAAGCACATTGATAAAGTCTAATCAGATTGATTGACGGTGTGCTTTGGTCTTTCACACAATACGCTCAATAATACCTTTTATACGATGTTAAGGAAGCTTATCCCTCGCTAACTGGCGCAGACTTCGTGATCGTTCCTTTTTTTTTTGGCAGCGCACAATCGTCAGACGTGCTTTCGTCCGACCATATCCTGCAAAAAAAGTGAAGCATGGAACTTATCAGTTTCTTACCGTCGTATTTGATTATCCTGGTCGGTAATCTATCGGTCCCCGCTACCTTGTTGTTTTTCGAGTCGCCGATTGGGCTCGAGCTTCTTCTTGGTCGGGCAATGAAACAATTATTCCACCGTCATTGACCGGGTTCACCATCTCCGGTTGTTCCGTTTTCACTGTCATTAAGCAGGGTGAAGAAGTGTTGTCTCCATAAATTTAGTATACTCTGGCGATCGGTTACGAGATCGCATCTATGTGTTTTGCGAGAGTCTACTCCGGTCTTGAAACTTTCTGTAAGCCGTCGTATCTTTTCATTTAAATTTCAAGCATTACCATAGTCGGCCAGTTTTTCAAACTCTTCACAATCACTCATCCGGCCTCCTTCTTTTTATGTCTGCAGATGTGATTTGCTTCTCTCATCAATTCTCGGTATCTATCCCATACCGCACGAATTGTGTCGATCGCAACTTTGCGAGGCAGGCAGCCTGCTTTCTCTCCACTGAGTCTATATCATAACAGCTTTTTACCTTTTCGCAATCCTATAACTTAGTTTGCAGCTGCAAGTAGGGAGCTTGAAATTCCGTCCTAAGATTCCCGTATACCGAGTTGCTGATGACTGTTTTC